TAAAACATATTATATGTATTATATAAATTTGTACTGTTTTTGAGCAATCATGAGTTACAAATTCAATGGAATTAAATTAAAATCAATTCATTCCAATGGAGTTAACACTGGTAATTATCAGATTACATGCTGTTAAAAATTTAATACAATTACATATTCAGAAGTATTGCAGAAAAATGTATGTATTTTGCATCACTTTTTTGGGGGGGGTAGTTTGTGTGTAATTTTTACTTTCAAATATTTTTCTATTGTTTAATTAACAAAAAGGGGTAAATGCAGTAAAAACGTGGTAACATTCAACAGTTTGCATTTTTTCACATTTAATGCTTAATGAGAAGTTGCTGATCAGATACAATATGTCTTTACTTGAAAAGTATTAAGTTGTGACTGCATAAAAAAAAAAAAAAAATCAGACCCAGAATGCAAAAACTGTATATAGATTTTGAATACATTATGAAGGTTAAAGAAGCAGTTCATCCAAAAGAGAATAAGAATTTTTGCATTATGGTAAAATAATGTCACGATGCAAAGAATCTTACCTTTAGAAACAATTTTCACTCAGAAATTGCTAGTGAATTTCACAATTAATTACAAAGAAATGGAAAGTAACACAATAAATTAAACTTATATATATATATATATTGTCTAAAGGTTGAGTAAAGTGTAAAAAATAGATTTTTCATTTATGCCAAAAATCATTAGGATATTAAGTTAAGATCATGCTCCATGAAGATATTTTGTAAATTCCCTACTGTAAATATATCAAAACTTAATTTTTGATTAGTAATATGCATTGCTAAGAACTTCATTTGGACAACTTTAAATACATCAATGGAAAGATTATTTATTCAGATTTCAGATGATGCATACATCTCAATTTTGAAAAATGTACACTTAAGACTGGTTTTGTGCTCCAGGGCCACATTTTGTCTAAAGGTTGAGTAAAGTGTAAAAAAATAGATTTTTCTTACAATTATTTCATATGTCAGGCTTCACAGGGTTCAATAAACTGATCAGTTTCACACAATTACGGGGTTAATCTTTGATCACAGAGGTGTCTCTGAGGTGGAAGTGAAAACTTTGACTATTTAAAGAAAAGAGGCAGTGAAGCTGATATGAAGGCGTCCTGTGTCTGTAAGATCTGACCTGGACGAGCGTCTGCGTTTACAGCAGCAGCAGCAGCAGCAGACGGAGACGGCCAGCAGCAGAGTCCCACACACCACAGCCATCGCGATGATCAGAGCCTCGAAGTTCACTGAAACAACACACATCACCACAACACTGAAGATCAGGGATGCTTGCTGAAACAGAGCCGTGTGTCGGTCACTACTGACACCTGCTGGACGTTTACTGATAGTGCAGGTGACCTAACACTGCTCTCATGATCCAGGAGTTGTCTAATTGTTTTTATTGTTAACACGTGACAGTGTGCAATATAACTGCATTATCTAGATTATCCTTTATAACACATTCGGGTCTGTTTTGAGATGCATACAAAATTACTAAAAATGCATCGTTTTTACCAAGAGAACAAAACTTTGCAAAGGTTTTAAGAGCCACAAAATACACATCATTCATTTTTTTCCGAATTATTTTTAAAGAGATATAACCAGGTGTCAAAAACACTTTCTGTAAAATATTTATGAAGTTATATCAGAGTCCAAAAAAAAAAAAAATTTAATTAAAATTAAACAAATTTGGAAAAATATATTTAGCTTTTTCTTCATATATCACACACTTTTGGGACTGAATTTTGTTGATGAACATGAATCTGAATCATTGCAGCATGAAAACTTGATCACTAAAATAAGTTAAATAAATAAAAATAAAACTGAAACATTTTTTTAATATTTTTTAAAAACTAATAAAAACATAAAATTACTAAAAAAAAAACAATTTCTGGAAATTTAACTGAAATTAGAATAAAAACTGAAAAAAATAAATAGAAGATAATTCAAAATATGAATAAAAACTATAACAGTATATAAATAACACTAGGTTTCACGGCTGAGCGCTCAGTTACACTGTCATTATTTATTGATATTTAACCAATAAATGCAACGAACAGCCAATCAGAATGAAGTATTCTATAAATCTGCATAGTACGTGAGTGTAAAGTCCTCAGGGCTGGTAAAGTGATGTCTGAAGGGAAGCTGAACGGGGGACTTCCAGCCCTGAATGTGAAAGTACTCAACAGCTGCTGTACATTAGTGTGTTTAACCAGTTCTGTGCATCTCAAGCTGCTTAAAGCATGAAGGTGAGCTCACCCCAGCAAACACCCCAGCGCGCCTGAGAGAGCTGACACACCGAGGCCGGAGGAATCACATACGACACCGGATAATCTGAGCAGCTGCTGTTCGTCTGGCACCACAAACACTGTTAGGAAGAAACACCTTTATTATTATTAATAATGTTAATCACATCCTCCAGGATGCTACAAACACATATATTATTATTATTATTATTAATATTATTATTATTGACATCCTCCAGGATGTTACAAACACATAC